AGGATCTCCGCATCGCTCTCCACAAAAGCTTCTTCAGGAAGCAAAGGTTGGCGTGCAAAGGTAACATGATGCCCGCCATGACGTCGTCGATGTTGTAGAGCCTCTTCCGCCCCACGAACAACCGCCCGAGCAAAAGTTTTCGTGTAGCCTCCTGCCCACTCACTGAGCTTCACCCACTTGCCCTTTACACGCACTCCTCCCAAACAAGGAACATGTCGATGTCGCCCTGGGCAAAGTCGCGCAGCTTGCTTGAGGATGGCGGCATCGGCAGCGAGGAGAGTGGGCTTGCGCAAGTAAAGAGGGCGCTTGTGTGAGCAAAACTCAGCACGAGGTCGCTGAAGGCCAAAGGCGCACATGTCAGTGCGGGCTTTCGGCAGTCCTTCGAAAGCGGCAACAATAGCCGGTTCACGCCAGGCTCGGCTCGTGAACGGATTCTTGCCCATGGTCACCCCACCTTTGGAGCGGTGGTCCCGCACCACGTCCTCGACTAAGTCCAGCAGAACTCGTTGTTGTTGTCGGCTTTCGTACAAGGCACGTAGCTGATCCACCGTTTTGTGGCCAAAAGTTTGCAAGATAGACCACTTAGCCCAAGGCCAGGCGATCACGAGGAAGTCGGGGTCGAAGGTGGCGATGTACTGTTTGGCGTCCTTTTGGCACTGCTTGTCCAGGAGGTCCCACCCGGGCAAGGTAATGGGCTCTCCAGCCTCCCATCCAGCCGCCACCGCTGCCAAACTGATGGCCATCGTCCACGTGAAAATCTCGAGAACTCGCCAAGGGCCAGGTCGTCGTCCACGGCGTGGTCGTCCGGCTGGCACCGTAGGTGTCGAGGGCGGCGTGGTAGTAGAGGAGGTATTCATAGCCGTTGGCGCACGTGAAGTGGTAGATGAGGTTGCCAAAGCCGTCCGCGCCATCTCCCGGATCGACCTGGACATCCCATTCAACTTCTGACGCACGCCTTTGCGCAAGAACTTCTGCTGCTTGCCCTCGAAAAAGACATCCTCGGGGACAAGCTCGTCGTCACTCGTCTCGGCCTCGCTCACGTCCTCGTGCTCCACCCCGAACTCGTGGGAAGTAATCGAGTCCACGTCGTCTCGGTCTCGAACCAGGCGCAGCTCCGTCGAAGCCTCACTGGCCCCACCAAAGTCGGACGCAGTCTCGGCATCCTCGTCCACGTCCTGGAGTCGATGGTCCTCAATGACCTTCACGCCCAAGTCCTGTTGCAGGAACTCCAGCCATCTCTCCTGGTCATCCTGCCGCTTACGCTTGACTTGCTCATGCCGGTACCGAGGGTCCATGCCATCGTGGGAGCTGTCGTCCGAGAAACACACCTCCTGACAATGGCTCTCAGGGTCGGACTCCTCATTTTCGATCTCCGCCAGCTCCGCATTACGAGAGTCCCCAGCAATGAAGGCCATCGACTGCGACGCACGCAACAAGAGGTTCTTTTGCTCAGCCATGCCCGGCGAGTCCCAGGGGCGCAGGTTTTCTCCGAAGTCCAAGAGGTCCAGTGCGGGATGACGTGTCGGGGTCAACTTCATGGGACGTCGGTGGCCCATCACCTCCAGCTCCCGGCTCCGAAAGTCGAACTGCACCATCCATCGAGACAGCTCGCTTGGACCAATCAACCCAGGACACTGAGCCGCAGCTCCATCCACCACAGACATCCGAAGCACATCGACCTTGCCGTTGCCCAAGCCGACCGGGTACAAACACGCCTGCTTCGACATCACGGGTGGGCCACTTCCAAACTGAAACTGCTCAGCCTCAGACGCGGTCTCCCATGTAATGCCAAGTCGCCGGAGTTCTTCCTGAAGAGCTCGATGCCAATGTACACCGCCCACAGCCGTTCGACAGCCAGTGTCTGCCACGGCCAGTCCCGGAGCCCAAGCCGAGACAGGTGGAGGATGAACTTCCTCCTCAGTGGCCCCCCCTGCACCAACCATAAGAACTCCATGGCGGTGACTGTAGTAGAGGATGTGCTTGAGGTCGCAGCGCTTGCACCGAGCATAATGTCCATGATCATTTGCAGACCAGACCAGCTCCTCAAACGGACGCGTACAACGAGCTTGGGAAAGAGTTGGCTTCGGTGCTGCCGTCGAGGGCACACAGCGGCCACCTTCAAGTTGACTTCGGTAGATCACCTGCCTAAACTCATCCAGCTCTCTCTTCTTCACTGCCTTGGCTTTGTCCCGGCCATGCTCGTCCTTAGCACTAGGTGGGCGCAAAGGAGGCGGCTCCGTCCCACCAGGTCTGGCCAAGTCGCCGCGCCGAGGGTGAAGCGGAAGTTGGTCTCGATCATGGTCAGGATCTTGCCGCCGAGGAAGTGAAGCAAAGTCGCCAGAGCCACGAGCCGAAGACGTAGGAAGCGGTGCAGAATGCAAGGTTTCCCATGCTCTCGCCTCCTCCTCTTCTCGAAGCAGGATCTTCAAAGCTTTCTTCTCTTCCTTGCTCAGCTGGTCCATGGCACCTAGGACCTCCACTGGCTTCAGCTTCACCTTCTTCTCCGGCTCGCTCGTCTTCCCAAGCGCCGCCTTGGAAACCTCCACAGAACGAAGGTCCCGCATAGGACGGGGAGGCGGAGGATGTTCGCTCTCACTCGAAGTCGCAGTGGCACCCAAAGCCGTGTCCGTCACCACCGTCCAGTTCCTCTTCGACAGCTTGCCTCCGCACTTGGAACAAAAGTTCGCCTCCGGATCGTTCTTCTTCCCACAGCCGTGGCACGTCACGAAGTTCTCGACCATGAACGTGAAGTTCGTGAAGTTCACTTCGTGCACGCCTGCCACACGCCTGGGCTGGTGAGGCTGATCTTGACCTGACTTCACATGGGGACACTCTGGATCACCTCGCCAGTGTCCACGCTGACCGCAAGAGGCACAGTGGGAGGCTTTCTTCTTCTCAGTCAGTGACCTCGCAGAACCCGAAGCCGAAGTTGCCGTTGAGGAAATCGTCGTTGGCCGCCGGTAACCACGTCCCAGCTTCCGAGCATTAACCTTGGCTTTGGCCTTCCATCCAGCAGAGAAGGCTTCATAGACCTCTGCCTCGCCCACGTCTTCGTCCATGACTTCGCCTTCGTCCTCGTCGAGGTCCTCGTCAGCGTCGCCCGCCGTGTGGTCCTCGTGTACGCGGTCGCCCGGCTGGTCCCCAAGCGCCTCCTGCTCAAGGTCCTCCTCGTCATCGTCGCCATGCTCGTCCTCGTCGATCGCAGCCAGGTGAACGCCATGCTTACGCAAAGGTCGCCGCGTCGAAGCTGTCGAGGCAGAAGACGAAGAAGCTGAGGTCGTCGAAGCTCCCGACCTCGAAGTGCTCGTTGCACCGCGAAACCGTGCGCCAGCAGGAACTCGTCTCTCGTCCTCATGCAGGTGGGCGCATCTATGGCGAAGCGCCCTTTCAATGGACTCCGAGTTATACACACCCCCGGCACTGTAGAAGACATCCAACCTGTCGCGCTTGGACAAGGAGCAACGATTGAGCAGTCTCTGAGCCCACGCACGGTCAGACCAGGAAGAATCTGGATCTTCAAGAAGGTAATTCATCCGAAGACGTTTCATACCTGCCACGTAAGAACTCACCGATTGGCCCGGCAACCTGCGGTAGCTGCTCAGCTCACGTTCTGCTCGTTCAAAGCTTTCGGCAGTCGACTCGCCGAAGGCCTCCTCCAAAAGAGCCCACATGATCGCCAAGCCACCTGCTGCCGTGTAGTCCTGCAAAGGTCGTTGATCAAGAATGTCTCGGGCCTCACCCTTAGTCGAAAGGTACAGCAACATAGCCAGTTCGGCCGGCTCAAGCTTGTACAACACTTCTTGTGCTTCAGTCGCCCGCCTCCATGCCCGAAAGCGCCGGCGATCCCCGAAGAAGTCCTCAATCTTCACGGAGCCGATGCTTGACTTCGGCCTCTCTCCTTCTCTCGCCCTTTTCCGCAGCATGCTCTTGATCTCGCTGGTGCCCGCACTGCTCGAATCAGTGTCCATGTTCACATCCAGCTCGGTCAAGGGCCGCCGCAAAGGTACAGGCGTCGAAGGCGCCGAACTCGGCCGAGGAACCTGAGGCACTTGCACTGAAGCTGCCTGAGCTGTGGTCACAGGAGCACCGCCGGCCGCCGAAGCAATGGTAGGAGTCGCTGTCGCGCCCGGTCCACTCGGAGCTGACACCCATGACCACGAAGGAAGTTGCCACGGCACTGGCATAGCCCAAGGTCCAGGCGGCCCATAAGGTGGAACTCCAGGGAAGCCGCCATGAACAGGAAGTCCAGGAAGCCAACCAGGGGGAACTCCAGGAGGTACATGTAGTCCAGGAGGTTGGCCACCAGCCACTCCTTGCCAATCACCTCCTGCCGCTGCTCCGGCAGGAACAGCTCCAGGAGAATTCTGAGAAGCCACCGAAGACGGCCCTGGGGACTGTGACGGACCATTGTGCCAAGCTGCAGCCACCTGAGCCGCCATCAGCGGTGTCGCCATAGCCGGCGGCCCATCGCCACCACCAACGCCAGCACCAGCAGCGGTTGCCATCGAAGATGTCGTCGGGCCCCAGGTGCCAGCAGCAGCAGCGCCATCGCCAGCAGCGGCTGCCATCGGAGATGTCGTTGAGCCCCAGGCGCCAGCCGCAGCAGCGCCCTCCAAAACTTGGCCCGCTTGGGCCCACGGATCCGCTATCGGTTCATCCCATGGATCAGCTTGCGCCGCGGGCGCAGCCATAGCAGGCTCGCAAAAAGGTAGGCAGAGCACCTAACCTAAGCCTACGAGCCCCGCAGGGCTCCGCTACCAATATAAGTTGGGAAAATGTAAACCCTAACCCAGCACAGCAAAGCACAAGCAGCTACCCTACGGGCTGGCCTCTTTTGTCGCAAGCTTGTAAGCATCGATGCTGCAGCGGTGATCCTGGCGGGCAAGGGCTGTGCACATGGGATTCATCACACCCCCTCAGACTTGAATCCCAAACTGAACCCTAAATCCCTATTTCAACCCGCAACCCTAAACACTCAAACTGCATGAAAACCTAGCAGCTGGTCCACGCCGGCCGAGTTGGACATCCCTCTCTGCAAAAGAGCCATAATGACTTCCTTCATCAACTCCTCTTTCGGGATTCCAGCGGACAAGACTTTAGGGCTTGGAGATTTGGCTTGGGGTCTGAGGATTACTTCATTCATCAGCTCCTTATGTACTGGGGGGGGAGTGGAGAAAAGCGGTGGGGGGGTGTTTTGGGAACTATTCATCTGTGATTTTCCCTGATATACTCCTGTTCTGTGGCAGTAAGGTTTCGAAGGATTTACACCTCGGGGACTGAGCATGTTCCCTGATTGGGGACTCTGGGATCTGGGATTAATTGGGGTTCGAGGAAGGGCAGGGACTGAGTGTTTCGCATGAAGGCATTATTGAATCACGTAAGTGTGACAAGAATAAAAAACGAGCAATGTCAGCAATACTAATGAGAACAACAATACGAGTGGCAACTAATGTACTAACAGTCAAAACATGTACCTCGAGCAAAAAGTACGTATGATGGCAGCAATGACGGGACAACATGGGGCATAAGCAGAAGAGCAATTGAAACAAACGAGGATTGCAACGATTATCATTCCAATAATAACGCAACAACGGCAATGACACGCGACAACTTGATGATGGCTCTTGTCAAGTTTTGAGGCCGAGGCCCTGAGCATTTGCGGTCTTCGGGATCCGAAGCGTTGAGAAGATCACCGTATTTTTTGCGGGGAATTTGGGGCTCCTGCACTAGCTACACCACGTTGCTTTGGTCCTCTCCCATCTTGACAGAGGCAGCAACCAAGTCGTCCTCTCAACAAGAGGGGTTCGAGTCGTCTGGCTAGGGCTCCCTTTGCGCAATTGAACAAGTAATTGAACCCACTGAATGACAGAAGCTGTCATGGAGCCAAGTCCTCTGCTGCTGCTTTGAAGGAGTTGCAGGAGCGCAAACGGTCGCGAAGCAGCTGCTGGTACTCCTCCTTGAGCCTCTGCACCTTCATCTGGGCTGCAGCCGCAGTGTGGACACCGAAAACATGACAGTGACAAGCAAAAAAAGCTGGGACCTCTGGAAGGAAAGCCGTGGGATCGCCACGAGCATCTTGCATGGCGGTGACCATTTTGGCATTCACTTCCTTGGTTTCCTTGAGGAGCTCCTGCCTCACTTGCTGGAGGGACTCTGTCTCGCTGACATCCTCCTCTCCGACAATCAGGCGGCCAGAGCGCTCAGGATTTGCCTGCGCCAGTACACAAACATGCTGGAGACACTCCACCTCAAGTAGGTGGCACTGGTGCAACTACAGTAGAATTACAACCTACATGCCCTACAGACTACATCCACCTAAGCACTGCTCTTATCCGAGGGCCGGCGGCCAGCCTTCGGTGCCGGCTTTGCAGACTGTGTGATGCGCCAGGCCTGTGGTGAACATATGCGAAGTATCAAAAAAAAAAAGGCATCCCTTTTCGAGTCCCCATATTCAGCAGTACAATAATAAGCTAAGTTTAGGTTCAGGGGCCCACGATCTATGGAAACCAACATATCAGGTCTGGGACACTTACTGCTCTATCAGAGTGGCTTATATTCATGTATGCTGAACGTTGAAAAGGCTTCCCTTGAGATCCGCACTTGGCCTGTAGAGACGCTTCTGGCGCCTCTTCATCCGGCTTGCGACAGATGTTCCTCAGCTACGTGGGAAGTTCTTCAAAGTTGGTGTCCACGCGCGCCCACCGCATAACCCAAAAAAAGGCAAGGTCCCATTGCCACAACCCCAAAATACCGATGCTTTTCCACAAGCCCCGTGTTTGAACGTTGCTGCAAGTCAAAAATCACCACCCTTCACCGCAGCCCAGCCCTTAATCTCAACAAGACCGACAGCAAAAACCTTTGGCTGGTAAGCAAGCCCAAGCAGGTCGAGACTCTTGTGACGCTTCCATGCGTTGTTTTGACACTCGCGAGAGCAATAAAAGGCGTTCTTGCACCGCCCACATTGCAAGAGCTTCTCGAACTCCTGCCGCAAAGGGAACAAGCACACCGCATACAATCTCCATAAAACCTGCACGCTGCTGGTTTCACTGCCCGCCCTTTTGGTGTCAGCCAAGAATTGGAAAAAAATCCTTTCTGAAGCCTTGGGGCCCAGTGGGATGTTGTGAGATGACTCTTTTCAAAAAAACAGACAGCAGGGTAGCATGATCATGCAGAATGTACCTCTATGATTCTGTGAAGATGGTGCAGCCCAGCTGTCCAGCAAAGCGTGAAGGTGAGGCAAGGGAGCGGGTATGGGATTCCACTGGACGCTGACATGATCATTCTGAAGCAACGTTACTGGGACATATTGGTATCCAGCCTGCTATCGCCGAATGAGTATCGCAGTGTAGGCATGAAACCCTGAAGTTCTGAGGCAAGGCTGGGCCCGGTATGATGAAGTGGCAAAGGCAAGGCAGACACATTGGACAAAGACTGAAGGCAGGATTAGCAGCAGCAAGCGGCAAACAGGGATGTAACAAAACAAGAAAGGAGACAGGGAGACCAAGTAGCAGGCGTCACTACCTTGAGCAGCAGAAGAGTGCGTAGACCTCTACGAACTGGGGCCTTCTGCGGATATCAAACCAATTTTTGAGCGGATTCCAAAGCCTTGGCCTAGGTAAGCGGAATCAATCCAGCGGGTGAATTCAGCCCCTGCCCTGCCCTTCCCGCCCACCTTGTCACACTTATCACAGCGCGGCAACGGAGTGACTGCCATTGCGCATGGCCCCCATTGACTTCGGAAAAGTCTTCGTCTTAGCCAGGTAGAACCCAAGTCTTGCTAGTGCGTATGAGTGAACTGCTGAGAGTGAAGCGTTCCAGCGCAACAATTGGCCGGCTGTGTATACGACTGCACCTTGTTGGTTCAAGCATGAGCCTCGCGTTTGAGCCAAGGGCAAGCGGCATTCAGGAATAAACAGAAGAACCCTCCAGGCTAATTTCTCTCTTTGCACCCGTCACACAGCAACGCAACAACGGTGTTTTGAGCGAAAAGCCACATTTCCACAGCATCGCATCTGAGGATACACGGAGGCGTGCGTGGTCTCGGGAGGAAAGCCTGCTTGCCTGACTTCCTCAATGATGCGGCGAATGGCGCAAATTGCCGTTGCAGGTTGGGCACCTTGCCGAACACGTTTGGGCGCGCGTTCTGCAGTATCAGCTGCTTGTTGAGCGGCTTCTCCTTGAATCCTGTCGCAAGCTTTCGCGATTCAGACCCCGAATCTCCGAAAGTATGCGTTCGCAATCTCCTTCCTCGAAGTCCCAGAATTCGAATACTCAACCACAAGGATTTTCCGGCAAGACTCTCTGCACATGAATGGTACACCCTCCTGGCCTTCTTCCTCCTCGGATATGCCTTCCATCCACGTGGCCTTTCCCAGCTGCGACTGCGGCTCCTGGCCATGTCTCCGTTCACAAAGTCAGAGAAGCCTGAATCCGGCTTGTTTGCAAAACTACATGCCCCCTCCGCTTCAAGAGATTTATCATCGCCAAATAACTTGCTGTGTGCAGAGATTTGGATTCTTTTTTGTAACCTGGTCGACAGGTGCTGCATCATTTTACCTTCCACCCCAAAATGGGCCACATGATTTAAAGACCTCTTGGTAAGCCAGAGGACTGAGGATTCGGGATGGATCCAGCACAGTCAGCGAGAGACTGGCAGATGTCACAGGGTCTGGGCTCAAAGTAGTTGACAAAGCATAGCGGGCAGCCCGTGCAGACGAAGCACTTCTACAAGTCAAGCTCAAAATACACCCTGCTCTCCCACACAACTGGGAAGACAACAATCTGGGCGGTGCAGGCGAGACCAAGCTTGATATTCTTCGGGCCGAATTAGGTGCATGATCTCCACTCATGTTCATGAGGAAGATGATGATGCTGATGATGAGTGATACACACAAATGATAATGAATGACATTTTTGTTCCAAAGCTATGCCAGACGTAAAGAATGGCATACCTATAAAACTTGATGAGATAAGGTGCGTAATGAATTGGGGTAAGGGTCCTGCCCCGCTACACCAGACACGCAGGAATGATGCAGCACGAAATGAGATGAAAGTGAACGATATGATGGCCCCACCAGCTGCCGCGACGGACCCAGGTGCAGACCAAATTGCAGGTACGTTTTCCTGGGGTGTGGGGAGGAGCTTCGTTGGACAGAGCCCCCTCCACACCCCCTCTGTCCCCCTGCATACGTGAAAGCGTAGAAACGAAAAAAGAGATGCACGTTTAGCGCATGTACAGCAGCTGACACAAACAGGACTGATCGTCAAGACTACCCTTCATCGTAACAAGACCTATTCGAAGAATGAAAGTCCGCGGCAACACTTCGTAGGCTGAGACATTGAGACCAGGAGAAAGAGATAACAGTGATGAAGCAGCTGGCCTTGCAGTGGAGGACGCCTCACCCGAGCCTCAGATGGACAATATCCGACAAGCTCTCAAATGCCCATGCAAAAGATCGCAAGAAACATGCGCGTTCAAGACTTTCATGCCTGCCTGCAGCATCGATTGCTAATTCCACTATTGGTGATGATCAGCTATTGAGGGCTGCACCGTGCACTTCAGGGCCATGCTGCTTTAAGCGCTGATGCCTGGAAGCAGAGAGGCAAAGTGGAGACCGCCATCAAAGCCCAAGCTATGCTTCTCAGGGGAAGAAGAATAAGTGTCATAAACCTCCTACACACAAGAGACTGTGACTAGACTCTCTTTCCAGCTTCCATGAAACAATGCAATTAAGGCTTCCAACGGACTACAACTTGGCTTATAGGCACCATTGTCGTAAAAGGAATTAATCAAGTTTGTAAAGGGACACGGCAGCAAAAACGCAGCAGGAATGATCATGCCTGCCTTGGGCCCCCGGACCGGCAATCCTGCAAATCCGGGGCTCTGTACGACTCACTCAGTTCTACCGGCCTTGATGCCTGGCCTTGCAGCGGCTCCCCTCTCCAGCTCCAAGCTCTGCACGGCAGCCGCAATAGCAGCTGCACCGTTCCGGGGCCCAGAGCGTGTCGAGCTCCGCATCTGGCTCCCGAAGCTGCACCTGTCGTCTGAACTGGATCCAGGTAGCGATTGGTCAGATCTATGCGGAGAGGCACGAATCAGGAAACTCTGGCTGCACTTCAAACTTCAAACACGTTCAAGCGAAGCCCGATTACTTGGCACAAAAGTCCATCTGCATCACGCCGGCTGGACTAAGAAAGCAAATGGCAGTTCAGGCAGTTTCACAGTCTGCCCACCTGAATATTGCACGTGCTGTGTCATCAAAGAGGTGCGCACTCAGCAACCACAGGAGTGTTCCAAATAAATCTCACAATCTCCTGCTATGACTGTCATCCAGGATGGTGCATGTGGCATAGGGGACCACCAATGGTATCTGCTAGACTAAACATCCTGGATGACCAACAGCAAGTAATCTGGGCTTTCCACTGCAACGTACTGTAATTCTCCTACGTGAGGAACACACAACATGTCGCAATCGCGCCTTCTCCCACATGCTGCGCGGCAGCTCTTTTGCTCCATCTGCGACTTGGATTCCAATGCAGGTTTCAGCATGCGGCTACTTGCATCAGGAACCCTTCAGCACAGCATGGGGCAATAGAACCTGCCTGACTGGGGAGGCTTGCCTCCTTTGAAGACCTCGTAAATGAGCGTTGCACGGACACCTTTGCCTCAAAGACGACTGCTCTGAGGGTCAGTTGCAGAGTTGAGGCGCGTGGTCCAGACCCATACATCTGGCTTTTGATTGGTAACCAAATCCCTACGCTTTGCGCCTGCATATTCGCTGTCCAACTTCTTCTGGGCGCGCTCCACCTGCTTCTTGTCCATCGATGCATTCTCGACCGTAGCCTCTGAGTCCAAAATCCTTTATCTTTCGCACTGGCTATAGGTCTCAAATCAGGCGCTTGCGCAGTGGCTGATGTAGGCCCAGGCACAGATGCAAGCAGATTCCGCAATCCGAAACCACCCTTCCGGTCGGGGTTAACGAATCTGCGACATCGCTCGGAGTCCGGGTCATGCATGCGTCTTCAGCGCGAGCTTCTACATACCCTGTGCGTGGGGATAGAGCAGCAGACCCCGACAATCAGCTCCACCGTCTGACAACCAAAAGCTTACACGGCCTGTTTGGAGTCAACTTGTACTGGAGCAACTGTGGAATTCCAACACGACCCGAGAAGACCTGGCTTGATAACTCTTCGGAACTTGGGCGGCGTCAAGCAACGGGATTCTTGCGCAACAAATGAAGGACATTGACGTCGGCCGCCGGAAGCGAAGCTGTAGCATTGGGCAGCCAGCAGCTGGCTACACTGCGTGCTGAACTTAGGGCTCACCTTGCCTCACCCCTTGGCACTGGAACTTCAACAGAAGGACCCCGAAAGACGAACGGATGAATTTTGAAGCGACCGCGCAGGCCGTCTGCAGGCCTTGACACCGAATCAGCATCAATTTGCCTGCAAACACTTTGCCAAGAGGCACTGTACAGGATCATTATCTGGTGCATTGTCAACTTTTGGGGTCTTTTGGGTAGCAAAAGGGAGTAAGGCCCTTCGAGTTGACCATCACTGGGATTCAAAAAGGGCCCCAAAGTTTGACAACTGCCCATCTTGGAACGAAACTACCACAACGGCGATGAGTTTCACCGCGTTCGCAACACTCCAAAGGCTCGATGTCCTGCCAGAACGCGGCGGGATTTCAGACAGGGATGCCTCAAAAGTAAGCTATGTACAGCTGGCTCATTGGCATGATTGCAACATGATTCTTACGATCCTCGTCGCTGTGTTGCGTTCTCTGCTGTCCGTTTTCCATAATCTCGGTCTGTAAAAGGAAACCCAGATCCTACACTCAGGACAATCAAAACTCGCAACCGGCCGCTGCGCTGGCTACAAAGCACCATGATATGCGTGACGGCAGAAGTGACAACTAACAGCAACAACAACAACGACGACGACGACGACGACGACGACGACCACGACGACCACAACGACAACGACAACGACAACGACAACGACAACGACAACGACAACGACAACAACAACAACAACAACACGATGACAAGCACAGCACATCTACCTTCATAAACACGAATGACAGAAAAGGAAATCATGAGGACAAGTATGAAAAGGGTCATCACCAATTCATCATTAATATTGAATGTGGCCCAATCAAGATATTGTGCAAAAGCTGACTGGCTGATGCGTGCCTCCGGGTCCGGAAAACCAACGTTGGTTCCCTTCAAACTCCTGGTCACCATGCGGAGCAATTCCTGTCTCCTGCTCTCTTAGGATTGTACTTTTGGACAGCCATCTCTCAACACTCAACAAGTGAAGACCACTGACAGCGGTAGGCACATGCGTTCGGCAAATAAGCAGGGCACCTCAATTTAAAAAAAGCCACTCGCGCGTCAGCAGTAGGTGCCTTGGCCACAGCTATCATCAGCACTGGCAAGCTGAAGGATATTTGTCCAAAGCCATATGTTATTAAAATCACGAAGACTCCTCAAGCGACATGAACCCTCAGCGAATTGCTCACGATGTACATGTCAGAGTCAACAGAGAAATTCAAACTATGCAGCAAACGTAAATTTGTATAGCAGTAAGAAAGCCCGCTGTCGCCCAAATTGCTGTGACCTCTCTTATGACAAGGGAAGTCCAAGAAAGCACAGCAAATTTCAGAAACCACAGGTTAGCCCCTCAGTGTCCGTCAAAAGCACACTCCACAGTGCGTTGCTCAAAGTTACAGGCTCGTGGCTTGAAAAGTTGCACAGACCTTTAGCAGGACGACAATGCCTTGAAGGGTGGAGAGAGAAGGGGCGGTTAATTTTACGATCCCCCCGAAAAAGCCAAGTATAGAGCCTGCACGCTTCCCAAGTGTTTGAGGCCGAAACCCTAGCCGATTCTTGTTCTTACCACTATGACAATCACTACTTTTTTACCATCACTATTACTATTACTATTGTATTACTATTATTACAATTATTACTACTAACAGACCATCCGGACCCAGGAGCGCTGGGTCCGAGTCCTCCTTGACCAAGGATTCACGGCCTCAGTGGATTGCTGGATTTACTCTTTCGGAATGAAAAATATGGGCTTTCCTTGCACTATCTTGAAGGCTTCCTTTACAATCATTCTGGTATATAGAGGGGCCTCACATGCAAGATGCTGGGCAACCCGCATAGAGGACAACCAGGATGATGCCATCTCTTTGAATGAACCCAGTCCTCCCACCAAGAGGTAGAACAAGGCTTAATTTCGTGGTAGCATCAAAGGAGTCATGACAGATTTGAGCTAAGGAGTAAGACCAACTTAAGCTTTTGCCAGCATCCCTTTTGCATCTGCTTGCAGTAGCACCCTGTCCTCCAAGCAACTGCGGTGAAATTCATGGCCACCTGGAGTAGACAGATTTAGTGTTCAGGGTCCCTTCAAATGGTGTATCATCCACATACTCAGGGACTACTGGGTATAGGGGATCTGAGCTGTTGGTTGCAAATCAATCTCCCCAAGGCAGATTGAGAAGAAGCCTGTTCAGTACTTCATATACCCTATATAATATAGTCCCTATACTGCCCTGTATATAGTCCCTATATTGCCCTCTGTAGTCCCTATACAACCCTCTATAGTCCCTATATTGCCCTCTAGTCCCTATTACCCTCTATAGTCCCTCTATAGTTGCTTATAAAAGCCTACAATAGGAACAAAACTGAAATTCGGACGAAAATATTGTCGTTGTACGTATATGTATATATATATATATTCCCTCATTCCCTGCTGACTCAAGCCCGTCTTGGCGCAGGTGGCCATCAGCTTTTAATCTTGCAACAGTAGAGTTTGTCCTCAAGTGGGTTGTTCTCAAAAAATGGGCCCCTTTTGGCTGACGACTATACTAAAACACCAAAAATGTAGGGGTACCAAAGTGCGACCCTAATTTCGGGAACTACCCAAGTGGCCACAATGACTTGTCATCGGAAGACAACGCGACAGCTGCACCAAAATTCGAAGCTTTTCCTTCTGCGGAGACGGAGCCATGGGCTAACTTGGCGATTGCTCCGTTGGTCTCTACACTTTGAAGAAATGTTGCCAGTCGCGACGAGGCAAGCCGCATCTCACATCCGAATGCCATCGAATCATTCTGAGGGCGGTATTGCCCAAATGTTGCCTTGTGTGGTTTTGTTAGGTCATGCTATGGCGCGAAACTAGGGCTTTGTTTCGCGCGTCCGATTCCAACAAGCAGACTGCAAGTTGGCGAGATTTACCTTGAGGCTTCTGCGCTGTCTGGCACAGGCAAACCTGACATGTCCAGCATATATTGGTTTACTTGAACGTTGTGTGTCGGAACCACGAGACATCAACCTCAGCTCCACGTTTGAAGCGGATACGCTTCAACCAGCTGATCTAGCAAATGAGGCGACCACATGCCGTCTGGCACAAGTCCTCTGTGGCCTGCAAGTCCTTTCCCAGGAAACGACAACAGCGTAACGCACAGGTAAGCATCTCAGAGCAATATGAGAATATACCGTCGACGTCCAGGCCTGCAGACAGACGGAGCATTGCACCGGAACCTGTCTTGGTGGCCTGAGCAGCTACTGCAAGCGCAGCGATTCTGCACAGACGCTCTAGTGTCATTTGCGATGACCACACACTGAAATGCACAGCTGCAGGTTCAGGTCCCAGCGGGTTGCGCAAGTGCGACAAGGGACCCCTCCACCTATGCATGCATGGAATCATGATTCATGCTGGTTCTTGGATGTGAGAGGTGCATCGTCAGCAAAACAGGCCGGAACACCCATCACAGCCAAGAGGGGACACACGGCGCAGGAGTGTCAGCAGTGACACCTGGCAGCGGTGCTGAATGTACCCACTGCTCTATGCAAGTTCTCCTCATGAATGCGAGTCTGCACTGAAAACATGGAGGCTTCACACCCCAAGCTCCCATCTCGGCATTGCCATAGGCAATTGGTGCCAGGCGAGCGCACCTAGAACAACACAAAAGGTGCCATTTCCGACATCACATTTTCCGCTGGAAGCCATTCTGAAGCACGCGCAGCAAACAAACCCACTCTACAGTCTCAGCAATATCCTACTAAGCTGCCCCAGAAGTCCCTGTGCACTGGTGTCCCAGAACATGCTCATGCCAGCAGCTGGCAACCGAAGCAGTTGCTTCACAGGTCGAGCATTAAGTTTCACACGGTCGATGGCACAGGGCAAGAAGTGAAATCAGGACCTCATGCTATGCAAGGATTGGATCTGCGCAGGTCTCTAGTAAGATGCGACTCGAGCTAAGCTTTTGCAAGCTTGCAGCCACAGTATATCATGAGCTGCAGCCTGCGGAACCATGTGCTTTGATCTTAGAGGCAACTGATAGACACCAAGGCCTCGTGCCCTCCTGCGATGCAATGTGAAAGAAACCACCATCTAAATCCTCTCTTCAAATGCTGCACATTCGGCTCCCCGACCCTGAGAACCTGGCGAGCAACACGGCTCCGTCAATGTGCTTCCGCCATCGCTGCAGAAAGCGTCGGTAGGCGCCTCCCCAGTACGGTAGGCACAAGAGGTAATCATTCGAGACTACGACCAAATCTTGCTGCTGCAGGAGCCTCCAGCCAGACTGGAGTCCCGGGGCATCGGCAGCAGCACCGCAAAAACTGGCGATGCTGCCCACCTCGTGCATGTGCTGAGCTCACAGATTTAATACACTTCACGATATGCGAATTAGGGTGTTCGCTCGCACGCAAGGCTTGGCAGATTTCAGGGATGGGCTTGGCTGAGGATTGAGTACCCTGCAGCAGTTCGAATTAGTTCGGGGCTAGCCATAGCGCTGCACTTAGGCCTTGGCTAGCCTCACCCCGGGTCCTCTAGTTTGCCACCCATCCCTCGCCTCCCTCTGCTTGCGTTCCTTTCTAGGCTACCCATATCCGTGCGAACCTGACAATTTATCATGTAAAGTGATCTGCAAGATGTTCACACAAATTAACACCGCCACAGGCCATTCAAACATATTAGTCTAATGAGTCTAATGGTTGCAACCTCAGCTGTTCTCTCCAGGCTCAGGCAGCCACCAAAGTGACACACCGGAGGCAAAATCCAATGGAATAGTGCACCTGCACCATGCACCATGAGCGTCGCTGCCAAGGGCACACGTTGCTGCCCATCCATATCTGCTCTTCATACAACACCATCACGTAGCAGACAAGTTAAAGCATGGAACAAACTCCAAACCTCAAGCCTTTGCACAAAGAGGCACATCGCCATGACACAAACACGTCAACATACAAGCTGGTGGGCAACCTGAACTCAGTCATCAGGACCTGGGGGGAGCAACTTGCTGCCAGCCCAAGGCGGTGCAAACATCTGCGAAATAGTCCGAGTCACCAGGACCTGCCCAACATGGTTGATGTCATACTACAACTTCTTGCAGCCCAGTAAGAAAGCAGGTTCTTGAGTGTGAGCAGATGTAATTACATCCGCAACTTTGACTGTGCGCCTACAACGCTCGCGCCGAGACCGTTGGTCTCACCAGGGTCGCGGGAGTCGGCAAGGCCTCACACCCAAAAATCTGGAGCTGTGCTCACGGCCCTGCCCAGAAGGAGAATACGGCATTGGGATGTTTTGGGGCATGCTAAGCGGAGCACCTTTCTTCGCTGTTGCTCCTCCCTCTCTCTGGGTGGCCCCAGACGCAAGAGCAGTGAAGGTCACACCGACCAGGACATAGACGACAAGAAATCTGAAGAGTCTTGGCGACATCCGCACCTGCTACTACGGCGCGACATGACTTTACGTGCAAACAACATTGCTGAAACATCCCTCCATGTGCTGACCTGATCGAAGTCCTGATCGAAAAACAGCGCAGTGGCGTACAGGGTGATGAAACCTGCTGAAAACACAACTTCGAGACTCAGTACTTCCCTGTGCTGGGCAATGCTGGACAGTGAGAAGCCCAAGTCTACAGTAGTTCCCTGCGCAGCATATGGCAGCACACCCCCAGGAAAGGATTTCAATCATATGAGGCATCATTGTTCCAAGGCACCCGTGGCGAGGAAGATCAAGGCCAGTTTGGCCAGCCCCGCACAAGCAGGCCCGGCAACCAGGTACGTCAACCCGGCCATCAAAAGGACCTGCACAAAGACACTCGGCAGGTTGCCTATAACCATCTTGTTTCCTGCCCACTACGCCTTGGCGCTGAAGCTGCGCCAGATCCGCAAGTCTGCAATGAGGCTCGCGCGCTGCAGCTCCACGTCTCTGTCTGTGGCTCCCCCAGATTGCCAAGCAAAGCGCCCGACGCAAACTAGCCCTCCAACAACAGCCAGATTGCAAAGAATCGCAGCTGCTGCAAGAGGGATGGCACAGCCAAGAGGAGCTGGACTGCTAGCGTCCACGTGCTGACCATCCGCACTGCAATAAAAGCTCTTGGTGGCACCTTGAATAGCTTCCCGGCAGATCATTGTGATTGCAACCAAACAGGCCACAAGCAAAAAGCCAGCGCAAGAGATTTGACCAGAAGACGCTGTTGCAGTTGCTGCATCGTCTGTCCCATCAGGCACAGGGTCCGCAAATAAACTCGCAGGTACAGGGAGGCCTCCACTTGGTCTCCTAGAACCTCGCAGCAACGTCAGCTCCCAAAGCATGCACGCTCAATCTAATACAACCAAGCTCTTGACATTTTAGGACCTTGATTTGCAAGTTGACAATACATCCCCTGGCATTTGCACAAAAACGTGCCAGCTTTGCGAGTTCGGTACCGCATACAAACTATGAAGCAAAAGGAAGCTCTACTGAAGTGAGCTTCAAGGCATATGTCATGCCAAGAGTCTGGGAGCAATAGGTCTTTGTGCAGATGGCAAAAGCGGAGCTGCTAATGCGCCGCCGGACATTCCCAAACTGCAGGTCCCAAATTGAGTAGTGTTGTAACACTGCTTGCGGTTGTGGCTGCATGGTTTAAGCAAAGCTTACGCATCTTGCGTTTGTTGTAACAAAACACGGATTGTTCTCAGTGCCTGCAATGCGATAATCGTTTAGTAGTTGACATCGCGTTGCTTCTGCTGTTCTGATTCGCCGTGCTCTAGTGTTGAGTTCCCAACCTGCCGAACACCATGATTTTGAACAAGACATGACCATTTCCGTTTTGCCGTTGTTATTCAATTTGTGTTCACAGCGCTACACTGTGGAGCCGGCTGCCACCGCATGAATTTTCCAAACATGTTCGCCTCTCAGCTACTGACTGGGACATGTTTGAAAAGCCCCTTTGAAACCAAAACGCTCCAGTGCAAATACAAAACCCGCACCCACCAATGGAGTTAGTGGAGTAGCTAATCGAGCACCTGTCGCTTGTGACTGAATTGTTAATCACTTGTGACGCCTTTCGCCTTCATCGCGTCTGACTCTGCAGTTTTGGGGTCAAGTCGCTTGTGACCATGCTTTGTGCAATCAGGATCCTCCGAAAGGAATCCTGACATTTTGGACCTCGAAGTCCGGAGCCCCCCACAACCTTGAGCACAAAACACCAGTAACCTAAAAACGAAAACCCAAAAAATAAACCCTACAAGCCTCAAATCCTACAAACCCTAAACTAGGCCCTAAACCCTACGAATTTTGAACGCCCAAGCCCTAAAAACACAAAAAAACCCAAACACCCAAAACAATATTCGTTAAAAACTACACACCCTAAACCCTAAAACCCATAGACCACATAAACCCTTTACCTGAAAACTTTGGGACCTCAAAACCAAAGTAATAAAATCCATAAACCTTTCAACGACAAAAGCCTCAAACCGACAAAACCAAAAGTCCCAACCCCAAAGACCTTACAACTTAAAATGCGAAAGCCTAAAAGCCCTGAGCCTTTGAAACCATAAAGACCTTAAAACTTAAAAGCCTTGCAACCTTAAAGCTCCAGATCCGGGCGATTGTAGACCTCACAAGCCTAAACCTTAAAAACCCTGGACCTAAAAACCTTAGGATTCGAAAACCGTGACACCCCTACACCCTTCAACCCAAAGCACCCCAAATAAAAAAAAATTCTACACCCAAAAACGACTAGCCCTAAAACCCCGACAAAGGACCCCCAGAAACCGAACCAATGAATCATGAAAATCCGAAAAAAAATGGCCCCAAGTGACTTCTTAGCCATGGCTGGCATAATGTTGTCGCATACCCAAAAAAACGGAACACATTGAAAAATCCATGATTCATCTGGCACTGGTTGACTTCAAAGCTAACATCGGGCGTTGTTTTTCTGCTCCACAAAACAAACGAGCATGAAAAAAATGAATTGAAATATTGCATGATCCAAAATCGCAAACATTTTGTGATTAATCAGCGTTATTTGAACACGGAACCAAATAACGCAACCCGCTTGCACAGACTGAAAACATCGCCCATCCATTGGAATGTCGCGTTTCTAAAAACGCACCAAACATCTGCAAGCAATTCTTGGGCACACACCGCGCCTTATGCTCACAGATGGCGAAATCCAAAAATGCAACGTTTACTGCGGACATCACCGCCCACCAGCAGACAGTCTGTTACTTACTTTTTGTACAATCACCCATGTTTCGACTTCTCCACGCTCGAGCGGTTTGGTAAAAAAGTAAAAAGCTCGAAGCGGTCATCTTTTACTTTCACCTTCCACGCAGCAAACAGAATCCTTGCTAAGCCTCCGCACAGACAGGCATAGTCCGGCAACGTATTTGCTGTGCCATTGCACATCCAAAGCCCCGGCGCTGACACCCAAGCAGGCGAGGGCAAGTATCATCCAATTTAGCAACATCAGCTGCACAACCATCATCAGTGAACAAGAAGGTCTCTCATTCACTGACCAAAGCATGGATCAATAATGCCCTAATGCCCTAATAAAGGTGTGGCAGCAACGTCAACCCAGACTGAGGCGGAGCCACACTAATCAGGATCCAACATTATAAAATAACACCGCGTTGCCAAAATAGAAATTGATCTTGAAAATTCTGCCTGGTTGTACTGCTCCTGTCTAAGACTTACCACAACAAACAACCGAGTAGCACTCTTCTTGTCTTTGTCTGAGTTGCTCCGAATGCGTCTTTCAGAGGGCTTGGAGGCAGGAAGGCTTCAAGCTTTTCTGACCATCCGTTATTTGCCCCACTTTAGTGACTCAGCAACCCTGTCCCTGAGGTAGACTGCAGCCTTTTTCTCCAAATCCCTCTCCGCGTTCTGTTGCAAAGCCGACATTGATGGAACGGATTTTCTGGACTTTCACCAGAGATCTGTCTGCTGACGCTGCAACAGAGCAGTGATGCTCTAATCTTTTGAACTTCGAATTCACTTTCTGCCACTTGAACCGCATGCATAGCGCTTCTTTCTTTGTCCTTTTTTGCACTGCATTAGATTGGTAATGTTCTTGCCTGGCCCTGTGTTTTTGTCGAATAAGATCCCTTTGCGACACTGCGTCATCAATTTTGGTTGCAGTTGCGTTTATTTCTCATTGCCAACATCATGGCAACTTGGTCAACTCTAGACCGCGAGAAAAGACACTCCTAACTTGCGAACCTCTGGCCCTGCAGCCCTTGAAGTTTTCTCTTACTGGTGTGTAAGAGATTCGCAGGCCTGCAGCGCGAGTACAAAGCTGACATGCTCGGAGGGCAGAACTTTCTTCCCGGCTGAGGCGGGTGACTCAAGCTGTGAGGCTAAATCATTCATGTTTGTAACTCACAGGCCTGCAAGCTGGAAACTGAAGAAACTGCTGGACTTGGGCCTGGAGGTGACTCTGCGTTGCACTGGCTCAGACCCTTAAACGTTAAGAAGGTGTGCCTGCGTCTTGGGGACTGCGTGGCACACTCGAAAAGGTTTCAGGCGTGGTTTTGCCCGTTTGTAGGCTGGACCTCCTCCTTTCCCCCTGCTTCGAAACTCCCTGCCTTTTTAAAAGTGCCGCAAGGGCCGGTTCGTTGCTTTATCCAATCTTAGCGCTCAAGCTGACTTACTTCAAGCCAGATTGGCGGTTCTTCCGAATGCGAAGCTTTGAGCTGCTCAGTCTGAGCTGACGTCTTGTCCTTGGCAAGGTAGCCCTTGATGGTCCCTCTCTCAGCTTGGTGCTCGGCAGTTTGGAATGCAGACTTGGAGTCTCACTTTAACGGTGAGAGAAGAGCTTGAAGGGGGCTTGGCTTGAAGTTGTCGTCCAAATGTGATTTGTGGTTTTGCAGTTGTTTTACCCGAAAGAAACTGTGAGCTTTTGTCTAAACTCCTTAAAGGTTATATAGGAGATTATTTAGGGGACTACTACTATAGAGGATATGTGGGAGGATACTAGGAGTTTAGACAATTACTCATATGTGTATAAACATGTGTTTATATTTTTATATATATGTAAAAACAGATATGTAAAAACGTATATACAATACAGATCAGAGTTCAGGATTTAGGGAGACATAGGAAGTATAAATGCTCTGTAAGTCTTAAGTGGGGGTAGCTACCCATTTGTGCCATAGTCTAAACTCCTAGTATCCCCCTTAATAACCCCTATATTACTCCCCAATATAATCCTCTATATAACCTCCTTTTAAGGAGTTTAGAGTAGAGCTCATTTGGAATTCCTTAGAGGTTTCAAGCTTTATGGCTTCTACCGGAGGTGTGAGGCCTTCCGGGTATTTGAAGGCTTTTACGGATACCTTCCCTAGGGCTTAGAGTTTAGGGCCTAGGGTTTTAGGGTTTAGGGCTTAGGGTTTAGGGCCCAGAGTTTTAGGGTTTAGGGCTTAGGGTTTAGGGCTTAGGGTTTAGGGCTTAGGGTTTAAGCAGAGGTGCACGGAGCCTGAAGTCCCTCAACCTCCAGCCATGATATCCATAAGACTGGTATGCTGTTCAGGAACTTACATTCAGTTCCCATAAGATGGGTATAAGGTAAATCATAGGGTTTCCTGGTTTTAGTAACTTAATCCAAAACGATTAAACATATCCTCACATATGCCCATATGCCCTCAACCCTCATTTCCGAGCCCCTGAACTAAACCCTAAATCCTGAACCCTGGAAAACCCCATATATATGTATATATATATATCTCCTAATCCTTAAACCGTACATTAATAAATCCCAAACCCCTAAACCCTCTTTATAATTCCTAAGCCCCATGAGGTGGAAGGCAAGTCCACCAGTGTCTGAGCAACGACGGCATCCGTTGCCTCACCTCTGTAGCAGGGTAGACGAGCTTAAATTACCACCCACGTTCCACACTGGACTTCGAGAGAGAGGGTCTAGAGTCTAGAGTCGAGAGAAGAAGCAAGAAAGAGAGTCGAGAGTCTCCAGGGAGTTTTTTGGCGGGTTGACTTCACAGACCATCGCGGGTTCCGCGGGTTCCACGCGGGACCCAGGTCCTTTCGCAGGTTTCTCGCGGGTCCATTTTTTCACTGCGCGGGTTCCACACACCGTTTGGGTTTTTAAAATTCTATTCAGAAGACAGGGAGGGTCCAGGTGTTGGACTTC